TCAGTTTGTGATGAAAACCCCATATATAATTCCTCACTACGGCGAATTACGACAAATATTGCGAACTGGATAATAAAAGCACCAGTAACACTGTCTGCAGCCAGGTACTACAATATATCCGGATGTTTGGAGAGCGTACAGACTCCTACATAGGCTTGGTTATGTGCATCGTGTCGTTATCCACAAGTAGCATTTTGTGTACTCAACAACCGAAGTGCACATAAACAATATGTGGTTGAGGCTGAAAGAGGTTTTGAGATTTTATCATGGCTCCAGAGGCCGACTGTTCTGTAGCCGTATGGATGATTTCCTCTACTGCATGCATCACGATTTTAGAACCACTTTCTAACCTTGATAAGTTTTGAAATGTATCCACTTTATTTCCTTGGTTTTGTATAACATATTTTTACTCTATACTAACTGTTTGCTGATTGGATAATATTTCCCAAAGTCACTTCAGATTCGTCCAGAGGTCCTCCATACATTAGAGTCTCGCCGTGTACCAATCTTTAACAGTAAACTATTTCGATAACTGGTGTTCAGGCTTTTGAATAATCTCGAGTAAATCCATAATTCTACTAGGAGATTTACCTTCACTAAATATTCAGTTAACGGGATACTAGCAATTGCTGTCAGATTTAGGGGAAATTTGCCTCTACAAGCCTAACTATAACACTACTTTCCCACTTTATGAACCTGTCGCTATTCACTTGTAGTGTCAGGTATTATGCCAAGCCCATATACCTTATTCTAGCTTCCGGACATCCCATTCTATTCATTTTACTTGAGCCATACATTGACCTCGTTATTTATTCGCTTATCAATCTAGACTGTTTTTATATGAGCGTATATGTGTGTGCCCTTCTTATTCCATTAATCACATGTCTGTAGCTTTATTTTGTCTGACTATAAATATTGAGTAACGCTTGACAAAGATGGAGTTGGCTTCCCCGCCATTCTCCCTGTGCGTCATTTTGCTTGGCTCTGTTTCATTCACTCCATATACAAAATACATGTATTCACAAATCAATTCTCGTTATTCGACTTATTTAATTCCGTTATTGGATAACGCGATTTAAGTCGACGATGATATACGAGAATAGGCGATAGCAAACATCCATACGATCTAAATGGGAGTCGAGACGCACGGGCCCCTAAACTCTCGCCAGTTTTCGTTTGTAAAATATTCATATGGTCAGTATATGAAGGATCGCGAGACTTACTTTTTATCATTCCTTCTCAACTTTGATCAAAAGCGCTTCTGATTCCTTTCACATATTATCATTATTTTTAAGCTTCTTGTCGACATCAGTTCCCTTAAAATTATACATACGTCTTGCTGACCAATCCAAACAATGAGAAAAAAGCCAGCCCTACAAATCAACACTTACCGGATAACTCTAAGCAATCGATACGCAGAAACACAGTACACACAGCATAAGTCAGTAAAGACAAATGGCTAGATTTCAACTTGATCGATCATTACTTGAAAACTAGATATATATTATGACCTTGGTTACTACACAAAGCACAGATAGTCCCTAAAATATTCTGCTACATTTAGAATTCTACAAACCAGTTTTCTTTTATTCATAAGATAATTTCATCGTATCACATTTATATATGTGAAACATCCATTCATACTGGAGATCTTTTCCATCACCAAGTGACTTGTTTACTACCAGTGAAAAATACTTAGTTCAGTGTAATAAATTACTTGTGCCTTCATTGTTTTAACACAATTGTAATTGTACGCTTAGCTAGTGAAATGATTGAAACATCATCAAATAAGAGAATGAATCTTTTCATAATCTTTTTATAGAAACAAGAACTATGATAAACAGAATACAATATTAAATGTTATTTACATGTTTGTAAATATCATAGTATGTTCATTTGATAATAAGTAAATAAGTAGTATCTTTAGATGTATGATTTTAGTTAAACTTTATTTTCTCCATTAAAACGATTTTCCTCTACTGCCTTCCTCATACTCTTTCAAATAATTCAATCCAATAAAGTTGACGATGCTTAGGTAGTGTATCAGCATTTTAACATTCAATAGATGCTTTGAAAATAGCTTCATTAAATGTTGTTGCACTAGTTATGTCGGCATAATCATTATTATCATCATCATTATGAATTAAATGAACTAATGAATCATGTAGACCAACATGTAAATTTGTATTCAATTCGATGGATTTCTTTGGTTGTAACCATTGTTTATTAGTTTGTTTATAAAATCGTAGTAAATTTAGAATATCAGTTTTATTACCGATTGTTTGCATAGATGACGATGATGATGATGTTGGTTTGACATTTGTCATTTGAGGTAATAATTTACATAAACGTACAAATTGTTGAGTAAATTCACTATCCCGATTATCTTTATTGTATAAATAGCTGGAATGAAGAAATCAGATAGTTAAAGAATAAAAAAATAATAAAACTGAGTTAGGTTATTATCACTTATTTATGTAACTCTCTTTTGATAAAATTCAATCCTTTACAGTAATTAGATTATAAAGTTAAACGTTGAGTGGTGACATGTGTTATAATGAGTCACAGTGGAACAGTCCCATATTGGTGGGTGTAGACTACCTGGTTGGGAACCGCGAGATGTTAGCAACTGATGGCTAGAGATCCTGAATGACATGGCTCAACATCGTTTGCAATCGCACAGGTGCATCCACTCTTTATGTTCTCCCAAATTCTAATCTTCTGAATTCTTCATGCTACTTTCACTTTTCTCTTTCCAAATTTGTCTCACTGTATTATACTCCTTGAATAACATCTTCAAACCCTAATGTTTCCGATTACTGCTTGTACTTTTACTAACTTTAGTACTAGGGGATTTGAATTGACAACTCCATCTCTGTGCTAATGTGGTGTGGCAACTCGAACTGATGTACGTACGTACGAAGTTCTACATTGTGACTGACTGACTGTGGCACAGATTCATTCCTTTTCTTATCGTGCGCTATAAAGTAAAGATTGTGCACCTGTATTTTCGAATAATATCCGGATTGTTTAATCTTTCTTAGAATGGTAGCTGCTATATTATTTTAATTCCTTTGCAATTAAACGTTAATATGTGAGAACTTAGATAAACGTATATACATTCTTCGATTCTACATTGATTATGACTGGCTGTCTAAAGATATATTCAAAACTGTTCGTTATTTATTCCAACTCGGATTACGTATGTGATATGACAATCCAATGGATATAAAGATAGATGTTCAAAGAAGCACAGCGTCTAATTACACGATTGAGATACACGTGCAGAAATGGTAAAGCGTAAATGCTAATCAGTCAGTCAGCTACAACGTAAGACCAGGCACATATATGCATCGTTTAAAGTTGCCATACCTAATCAGCACAGCAAGATGAACACCGGACTCATAGAAGTAGTTAATTCAGTGATAGTAATATGTAAAAGACTGAGTGCGTATAATGACATAGTACGCGAGGAAAGAATTAGTTCATAGAAAGAAAGATATGAAGCGATTTTAATCTCATAGTTTAAGGAAAGACAAAGAATGTATACAACGACGCCAATGTGATCGATATTGAGCCATGCTAATCCCAGCACTGTAAATCATATTTTCATAATTACAGTTTTCTGATTGTTTGGACTGAGTCCAGAGTTGGTCAAGATCACTAAGTCTCTCATGTTCGCACTTAATTATCAGGTTTATCACAAACTTTTGACAATAAGCAGAAAAATAATATTTTCAAGTGTAGGTTCCTAACAATGTCTATCTTTCATACATCTGAAATTAGGAAAGTGATGTTGCATTCATAGGGAATTTTTTGTTTTAATAAATACAAACTCATCGATTCAAATGATGTACAGTTATCAAGAACAATAAAGGTTGACGAGTTATTTGGACTGTACCAGATAGAATTGCAGCCGCATAAACACGAATCACGGATGAGTTCGATTCAACTGGTTCAAGGAAGCTTGACAATGGTATAACAAGCTATATTTATACGAATTATGAATAGAAATAATAAAAATTCGGAAATAAAGATTCAATGATATCCATGGCAGAATAAATTTCAAAACAAGGAATCTTTAATCTTGCTCTATTTTTAGGATGAACTATGAGTATGAAAGTGACATAGTAGTTAAGGCGTCCAACTTCCGGAAAGTTAGTCAGTCTTAAAACTAAGGCTCATTTTGCCTGCATTGGATTGAACAAGCGGATAATACCGTTGGTCACTTTTTGATGTTTACAACTACAGTTGATAAGTGTCCATTCTGTGAGGATTGCTTTGATAATGTCAGCAATTCATAAGCATTTTTAAGCAGGGATGGATAGTAACCAGGAGTGAAATCCAGAAAGCGTGTTACGTCCTATTTGGGACTCACCAACTAGATTTGCCTGCATCCCACAGTTAATGTTCACCCCGAGATTAGAACCATTCGCTTCAAACACCATCACGTTGTCTACTTAGCTAATCAGTTCAGATAGCCAACTGACTTTTGCAATGGGGAGAAATCTAATTCCTTTATATTAGTTGCTCTCTAAATCGTCCCATTATGTTTACAACTGTAATTCATCAGTCTATTTTTACTATTATTATAAAATATAGGCTAAGTATGAACAAACTTCATTTCGTGTAAAATGTTCTGTAGCGTTGAAAGCGTCTATCTATATGATTAAAAGAAGAATATCTCTTAGATTATTTACCAACATAAGATAACCTAAATAAGAGCTAAGTCCACAATAACTGCCAACAATTGAAATGAAAACTAAGAGAATATAACAATTCGAAAAACCGTCACATCTAAACAGAAATTCAATGAATGTACAAAACCTGAATATAACTATTAGAATATATGTCACATTACAAGTTCATGTCAACACACCCAATAATAACATACAATTAAATTGAGACAAGCATGACATATTCAAATAATGAATAAATAGAGACCAGAGGTCAAACAAAACAAAACAAAAAGCAAATAGAAAACAGACTTAACAACTAACCTGATTTAAAACAATACGAGGTGAAGTTAAAACTTGTTGATGTTCACCCCATAGTGCACATCTATATTTCACATGACATAACTGTTGACAACGCCAAAAAACTAGATTGGCAAACACTGGAGAATCATAAGACAATGCATTGTAGTGATTCACTAGGTCAATATATCTATACAGTAAAAAACAAAAGCGAGTAATGGCACACATGATTATGTATAAAGATCCGAACGGTGCGTTAACTAAATATACCGTTCATTTACCTGGTATTTAAACACATTTTCGAAATTAGAGCTAGTGATAATTCCTGGTTTCTTAAATCAAAGTGGGTAAGATTTAAAAACATTTATAAATGTTACAAATACAATAAAAATGGGACTTTACTTAAGTTCACCCAAAATGATGCGTGTTCGGCTTTAATCTGGTACAATAAATCCACAATTATAGATGCTTGGTAATTCCAAACGTATCGATATAACTCCCCAGTGGTGTAATCCAAAGTAAGGTATGGTGTATTCGCTCTCACAGTCTATGAATGTAAATAATATTTATTTTAGATCAAAGTTAACTCAATCTCGAATGAAAACAGAACGGGGAATGTGAGAGAAGCAGTGTATTTGTTAACCAGCAACGATATATCACGCTATGTAGTATCATAACGGAAAAAGTCTTCAAGGTCATTTACTTAAACAACAGGTACAATCATTTAATGATAGGTTTACATGCAGTGAGAAATTGACAAAACAAATACAAATAATATTAAAAACTATTTACAAGATAAGCTTGTCAGACTTATCTTCACAGACTGTTAGCCTTTGTTATGGCTATTTACGTTAGCGTGAAAGAGGTCTGCTGCGCGTAACTGGAAGGAGTTGGGACTGTTATTGCACATGCGAAGCGTTTTTATGTGATAACTTAGTACTAAAGGGTGTGAAAAGTTTCCTTCTGAGAGTAATTACAGTTGTGGTCCTGGGGAATGTAGATAGGGTGTGGAGTGAGAAACCTATTATTACCATTGTTATTAATGATTTTAGGCTGCGTGTAAGAAGGCTTGTTACGCTGAAGCCTACCACCCATTTCGCAACTTCGAGGTGTCGAAGGCAAGTTATATGATAGCAGTGGGGAGAACCCGTTCAACGTTCTTGGGATACTTATAGAGTAGTTGAGTTCAATCTTACGTGTTTCCCTATTCGGTATCGTGAGTCTTGTCTTATTATTATTATTATCGTCATCAGAGACAATGTGGTTGCTAGCAATATACAACGAAAATAATGCACATTATTCAGATGTTCATTTACTGAACTGCTAACATCTAACTGGTGATCACTCGATATCTATCGCCAGGACCGACCAAGAAGAAAGAAACGGAAACTTGTTGAAACACTTTGCGCTGAGAATTCTATATACTACCACAAATATAATATTGAAAAAAGCTGATGATAATAATAACAATAATAAGACAAGACTCACGATACAGAATAGGGAAACATGTAAGACTGAATTCCGTCAGCTTACTGCTCGGCTGTGTTTATCGTCAACCTAACGTATCAGTAGATGAAATAGCAGTGTTATCGGAGGTATTCACACTAGCATCATCCCTCCCATTCACAGGCAAGCCTATTTGTGGTGACTTCAATATGCCCGAAGTTTCTTGGCTCCCAGTCAAAGCGCCGAGACGTTATGAATCATTTATTGAATTTCTAGAGCTTGGACAATGGACTCAGTATGTCAGTGGACCTACCAGACATCAAAACATCTTGAACTTAGTCTTTACCAATGGCCTCATCCTCAATACTTTGTATATTGGAAAAAAGTTTCCGGGTAATGATCATAACATTGTCATATGCAGCCTTCATATAAAAGCCACAACCGGTAGACGTAAAACCGTAACACTTCGTAGAAACTATCGCAAGGTTGATTGGAATAGCTTCCACAATTACCTAAGAAACACTGATTGGAGAACTTTCTTTACTTTAAACAATACCGACACATCAACCAATATATTTTATCACAACATCAACAACATCGCACCTTTAGAATACTATAGACCCACGTTCCTCAAATATCTCTATATACCGGCCAGTACAAGACGACGTCTTCAACCACATTGTCTCTGATGACGATAATAATAATAATAAGACAAGACTCACGATACCGAATAGGGAAACACGTAAGATTGAACTCAACTACTCTATAAGTATCCCAAGAACGTTGAACGGGTTCTCCCCACTGCTATCATATAACTTGCCTTCAACACCTCGAAGTTGCGAAATGGGTGGTAGGCTTCAGCGTAACAAGCCTTCTTACATGCAGCCTAAAATCATTAATAACAATGGTAATAATAGGTTTCTCACTCCACACCCTATCTACATTCCCCAGGACCACAACTGTAATTACTCTCAGAAGGAAACTTTTCACACCCTTTAGTACTAAGTTATCACATAAAAACGGCTCGCATGTGCAATAACAGTCCCAACTCCTTCCAGTTACGCGCAGCAGACCTCTTTCACGCTAACGTAAATAGCCATAACAAAGGCTAACAGTCTGTGAAGATAAGTCTGACAAGCTTATCTTGTAAATAGTTTTTAATATTATTTGTATTTGTTTTGTCAATTTCTCACTGCATGTAAACCTATCATTAAATGATTGTACCTGTTGTTTAAGTAAATGACCTTGAAGACTTTTTCCGTTATGATACTACATAGCGTGATATATCGTTGCTGGTTAACAAATACACTGCTTCTCTCACATTCCCCGTTCTGTTTTCATTCGAGATTGAGTTAACTTTGATCTAAAATAAATATTATTTACATTCATAGACTGTGAGAGCGAATACACCATACCTTACTTTGGATTACACCACTGGGGAGTTATATCGATACGTTTGGAATTACCAAGCATCTATAATTGTGGATTTATTGTACCAGATTAAAGCCGAACACGCATCATTTTGGGTGAACTTAAGTAAAGTCCCATTTTTATTGTATTTGTAACATTTATAAATGTTTTTAAATCTTACCCACTTTGATTTAAGAAACCAGGAATTATCACTAGCTCTAATTTCGAAAATGTGTTTAAATACCAGGTAAATGAACGGTATATTTAGTTAACGCACCGTTCGGATCTTTATACATAATCATGTGTGCCATTACTCGCTTTTGTTTTTTACTGTATAGATATATTGACCTAGTGAATCACTACAATGCATTGTCTTATGATTCTCCAGTGTTTGCCAATCTAGTTTTTTGGCGTTGTCAACAGTTATGTCATGTGAAATATAGATGTGCACTATGGGGTGAACATCAACAAGTTTTAACTTCACCTCGTATTGTTTTAAATCAGGTTAGTTGTTAAGTCTGTTTTCTATTTGCTTTTTGTTTTGTTTTGTTTTGTTTGACCTCTGGTCTCTATTTATTCATTATTTGAATATGTCATGCTTGTCTCAATTTAATTGTATGTTATTATTGGGTGTGTTGACATGAACTTGTAATGTGACATATATTCTAATAGTTATATTCAGGTTTTGTACATTCATTGAATTTCTGTTTAGATGTGACGGTTTTTCGAATTGTTATATTCTCTTAGTTTTCATTTCAATTGTTGGCAGTTATTGTGGACTTAGCTCTTATTTAGGTTATCTTATGTTGGTAAATAATCTAAGAGATATTCTTCTTTTAATCATATAGATAGACGCTTTCAACGCTACAGAACATTTTACACGAAATGAAGTTTGTTCATACTTAGCCTATATTTTATAATAATAGTAAAAATAGACTGATGAATTACAGTTGTAAACATAATGGGACGATTTAGAGAGCAACTAATATAAAGGAATTAGATTTCTCCCCATTGCAAAAGTCAGTTGGCTATCTGAACTGATTAGCTAAGTAGACAACGTGATGGTGTTTGAAGCGAATGGTTCTAATCTCGGGGTGAACATAAACTGTGGGATGCAGGCAAATCTAGTTGGTGAGTCCCAAATAGGACGTAACACGCTTTCTGGATTTCACTCCTGGTTACTATCCATCCCTGCTTAAAAATGCTTATGAATTGCTGACATTATCAAAGCAATCCTCACAGAATGGACACTTATCAACTGTAGTTGTAAACATCAAAAAGTGACCAACGGTATTATCCGCTTGTTCAATCCAATGCAGGCAAAATGAGCCTTAGTTTTAAGACTGACTAACTTTCCGGAAGTTGGACGCCTTAACTACTATGTCACTTTCATACTCATAGTTCATCCTAAAAATAGAGCAAGATTAAAGATTCCTTGTTTTTAAATTTTTATTATTTCTATTCATAATTCGTATAAATATAGCTTGTTATACCATTGTCAAGCTTCCTTGAACCAGTTGAATCGAACTCATCCGTGATTCGTGTTTATGCGGCTGCAATTCTATCTGGTACAGTCCAAATAACTCGTCAACCTTTATTGTTCTTGATAACTGTACATCATTTGAATCGATGAGTTTGTATTTATTAAAACAAAAAATTCCCTATGAATGCAACATCACTTTCCTAATTTCAGATGTATGAAAGATAGACATTGTTAGGAACCTACACTTGAAAATATTATTTTTCTGCTTATTGTCAAAAGTTTGTGATAAACCTGATAATTAAGTGCGAACATGAGAGACTTAGTGATCTTGACCAACTCTGGACTCAGTCCAAACAATCAGAAAACTGTAATTATGAAAATATGATTTACAGTGCTGGGATTAGCATGGCTCAATATCGATCACATTGGCGTCGTTGTATACATTCTTTGTCTTTCCTTAAACTATGAGATTAAAATCGCTTCATATCTTTCTTTCTATGAACTAATTCTTTCCTTGAGTACTATGTCATTATACGCACTCAGTCTTTTACATATTACTATCACTGAATTAACTACTTCTATGAGTCCGGTGTTCATCTTGCTGTGCTGATTAGGTATGGCAACTTTAAACGATGCATATATGTGCCTGGTCTTACGTTGTAGCTGACTGACTGATTAGCATTTACGCTTTACCATTTCTGCACGTGTATCTCAATCGTGTAATTAGACGCTGTGCTTCTTTGAACATCTATCTTTATATCCATTGGATTGTCATATCACATACGTAATCCGAGTTGGAATAAATAACGAACAGTTTTGAATATATCTTTAGACAGCCAGTCATAATCAAT